TACACAAAGACAGACCAGAGGCTAACCAGCGACACAACGAGGACGCTGAGGATTGAATGCAACGCTGTCAGATTACCTCATGTCTCATTCACCTGTATAACATTACAGTACAAAGTGCATAATATTACAATAATAACGGCTTCCATTCTCGCTCGGTCTGCAATAGTGTAATGAACGCGCTGATGGCGTATCATGTCTGTGTGAACAGGGTGTGCAGAGGTATGCAAATACATATTTTAACAGGCAGGCAGGACATCCAATCATAATGTTCGGACCAAATAATCTGATTGGTAGAACATTTTATGGTCCTACGCCTTCCACAGACAATATACATATAAATATTTTTAAACCACATAACTTTGTGATTGCTATCAGGACGTGAAGATACTTTCAACCAGCATAACAAAAAAAATTTTTTGAACCAAAATCACCTACCCTGCCTTTTAAGGAAAGGATGACGAATACAGCCAAAACACTGACTGAAAATCACCCGATCTGAAGCGTATCAGTCACACAGCATTCATTTTTAGGATACGTGTGTGTAAATACATTTTTACTTCTGATTTTATCTGCAATGTTTAAAGTCTTTTCAAGCAGGATAAGCCATATATATTAAATCGTTTAGGTGATAACTGATCCTACACAAAATATATTTCTTTATGCAACTATGCAGGAAATATTAAACATGAACATATATCTGATATTAATATCTGAAATTGATTTGAATATACAATAAATATTACAATACAAGCCTCTGTTACTATGCTGCTCTATATTGTATTGAAATTCAAAGCTTACCATGTATCATCTTGGAAATGAAGCTTCATGTCTTTAAAGGCAGAGTAAGCGATTTCTGGTAGCCAATGTTGATATTTGAAATCACCAAAACAAACACGCCCCTACCCCAAAAGGGTCTTGCCCCTATTTTGATAGCTCCGCTCCACATATACGTACACAACCCAGGCAACGATTAGTTAACATTTCTTATTATCAGTGTTAAAAATGGTTGTGCTGCGTAATATTTTGTAAGAGAACAGAATGAATACAAAGTTCAACAGCATTTATTTGAAACACAAATACTTTGTAACATTCTAAATGTCTTTACTGTCACTTTTGATCCGTTTAATTCATCCTTGCTCAATAAAAGTATTAATTTCTTAAATACATACATACAATCTTGTTCACCCAATTCAAGTAGTAGTGTAAATGTTTTAAAGGCAGAGTAAGTGATTTCTGGTGGCCAATGTTGATATTTGAAATCACCAAAACAAACACGGCCCTACCCCAAAAGGGTCTTGCCCCTATTTTGATAGCTCCGCCCCACATATACATACGCAACCCAGGGAACGATTAGTTCTGTGAAACAAAGCAAAACCAATGTTACACCGTGTCTACGGACGTGAGCGGCGCGGCGCAAAAATTCCCGACAGAAAACTGCTGCCGGGTTCTATTTATGACGTGCTGACACAAATTTCAAATGGTTTTCAACGGTCGTTTGATCGTGTCCAGTGTAGGCAGACTTTAGCTGTTGTAGACACGGTGTTACTCACCTATTGAGAAGAAACAAAGCAACCTCGGCGTCCGATCGCAGGCCTCCGCTCCTTGAGTTCTCTGGAAAGCTGATCCGATATTTACATGGGTCCTACTTCTTGCCTTATCGTTCTGCAGACGTTTTCCTCTTTTGTTTTTTATCCAGCATCTCTATCTTTCTGTCGTTCGGCTCGGCTAATGTCTGTCCCATGCACTGAAAGCTCTCTCCTCCACATCACGAGTAGACACGCCCCTTATTGCTGATTGGCTACAAGTTTGTTTTGCTATTCGGCCCGAATCAGTTTTCTAAAGTGTTTTTGAAAAATCACATACCCTGCCTTTAAGTCTGTACTGTATGTTATCAGCACTAGCCTATTTCTCTGAATGATGTTATGATGTATTTCTTTTTGTCCTAATTGAGCAACATCTATTTCAAATAGTGAAATAGATTCTATTTCAATAGAAAATAGATTTGTGCAAATTCTAGCATTACAGTTTCCATAGGAGTGAAATGTTATGTATATATTATTAAATTAACCAACATTGAAATCAACTGCTTCAAGATGCATGCTGTTAATGAAATCGTTGAAACATTTGCAGTAACAAATAAAAACAATATAACAACATAATTACATAAACAGTGAATAATTGTACAAGGTGAATTAAGATATATGCACAAATAAAGTATACAATTTTATTCAGATTTCAGAAAAAGCACTTTGTCATTTGTAATACATGTGTTGAGGATCTCATCCATCTGATGTTCGCTAATGTAATGAATATATGTATTTTTTTAATAGGCAGGGGAAATTCTCAACATTAAACAAATAACCTTTTACATGCAGCACGTTTGCATTGTAAGAATGTACAGGAAACCTTCAGATATAAAAACACTGACTCGTTAGGTGATGTTTTCTCATTAAGATGGTAAGATTTACTATTAATTCAATAGAATTTATGGGAATACTAGGGTATACCAATATGGCGGTGCAGTGGCTTCACTTCTATGAAATCATGAGCAAACTAGTTCTCTATTATAGATCAGTGGTGTAAACTTATAATAATGGATTACTACGGACACTTAACAGACACGCACACAGCGGCCATAAAGGCATCAAGACACATCAGATTGTCTCTAATATATCGCTTATAACTCAAACAACTTGTTTTCATAATCCTCAGAAGTCAAACTCAATCGAAAATAAAATACCATTAATCGCACAGCCCTAAAGTACAAGAGAGACCTGCTTCTAAATTGCAAAATAACGAAAACACGTCAGTGATTGTCTTGATATTATCGCATGTAGAAACAGTTGGCAAGATACAGTTAGCTTGATCATATTTATGTAGCAATAGTAAACTGTAAGGCCCAATCCCATTTTTACCCCTTAGTCCTTCCCCTTTCTCCTACCCCTCTGTTTGGTGCGTTCACGTGAAGGGTAGGGGTGTCTCGATTCTCTTTTGGTTGGAGAAGTAGGGGTAAGGGCCAGATAGCCCTTCAAACGAAGATTTTTCGGGACCACACTTCAAACGAAGGGGTATGAGGATTATCTCAGCGGCTGCCCGAGCGAACAAAAAGACCCACAAATGTAAGCATTATTGACGTTAATAAAGATTTTAATATAATTAAATCATTTGTTTTATGTTACATTCAATCGTGTGTTCATATTTACGGCGATGTTATTCAAAGAAATGTTCGCAAAAAATTGCTAAAGTTTGCTAACGTCATATCATTACAGACTGCACGATACAACATATTTTCATGTCTGATCAGGGCTGTAACCACCAAATACATTGAGGGGGGCTATAGTCCTCCCAATAATTAGAAATAGCTTTTTCTCAAATATTGCCAATTTGAGAGAGAGAGAGCGAGAGAGAGAGAGATAAAAGTTGCATGTGCGCGTCTGTGCATCTCTCTTTAATGAGTGAGTTTACTTCAAAAACTGATTTTTATGCTCTTATTGCAGGAAAATATAATGTAGTGATTCAGATTTTAAACTGTTATTAATAAAAGTCGTGGGGCAGAGTTGACAAGTTTCTTTGCTCCTGGATGTGTGAGCTGCGCGATCCGATACATGTGTGTGTGTGTGTGTGTGTCAGTAAGCAGCACATTAATATAGAACAGTAGTTAAAGGCTCTAATGCACACCAGCACACCAGTATAGGTGTATAGGATGATGACGTGCAACAGTATAGTAGTGGTGTCCCAATTCTTAGGGGACTATTTTCACCCCTACCCCTTGACACTTCAAGGGACAAGGGGTAGGCGTAGGGGTATAAAATAGAATTGGGATTGGGCCTAAGTGTATTTCCTTAATTTCCCCAGCACTTAAAAACAGAACAGTTAACATTCGCTTTTCGATACTACAGTCTTTCTTCATTTAGCCCCAGAGCTGGTTTAATACCGGGTTCAGGTATTCAGTCTGTCTTACAAAAGAAGCACAGAAGAATCAGTTGCAAAGCTACATGACAGTAGGGCTGTGCAAATAATCGAATGTGATTGTCAAGCGCATCTCGTCAGTAGCCGGTTCTGTGATTAATAGTAAATCTCCATCACGTGCTTTCAGATGGAGCAGCATTTACTACACAGAGCCGTAGTTCACTGACAAGCTACGCAATATCGCGTTAATTATCGGCGATGAATCGCCAGTGATTATGAACGCGATATTGCATAGCTTGTCAGTGAACTACGGCTAATCACAGAACCGGCTACTGACGAGATGCGCATGATCATCGCATTCGATTTTTTTGCACAGCCCTAGGCAGCATCAGATCTGAAAATGCTGGATCTGAACATGATCTACTTAGGGCTCATCCACACGAAGCCAGAGCTTTCCCTATCCAATCTTTTATTTTCTTGTTCTTCCGTAAACATGGCGTCGTCTCAAGGAATATCTGCGTACACACAAAACCACTGAAACTGACTCAAAATGATGTAGTATTCATGCCAGACCAGTGTGTGGCGCTGTAATTCTACCACAGAGATACACTAAAAACGGAGAAGACGACTTGGAGCATGTGCATAAACCTTGCGCGCTATATTCAAACCCAACACGATAACAAGAAAAGCTAGTAAAGTTAGTAAAGCTAATGGGCTCAGTAGCTTCTGCAGCACAAACACAAGCATGTAGTCTGCCTTTGTTGTTGTTACGTGACGTAGCTGTGTCTGACTAGGGTCACGACATGGGGTGATGAAATCATTGTTTCACAAAATTTACGGATTGGCTGTACACACAAAACGCAAAGGTGTCATTTTCAGATTCATCCACTCTGGGACCCGGTTTAAAAAAAATTGCGTTTTCAGGCTCCCAAAACGCTGGATCCGTCTGGACGAAATACCAATACGATACAACATTTTTATGTATACAGCTAAATGCGTCTCCGTGTGTACGGGGCCTTACTGTGATTGTTTTTTGTATGTCTGTGTAGAGCAGATGCACGATTGAAACACTTCCCACATGCAGTGCAGTGATATGGTTTCTCTCCAGTGTGGATCCTCTCATGTGCTTCCAGGTCTCCTGACCTATTAAATATCTTGTCACAGTGTGAACACTTGTAAGATTTTTCTCCAGTGTGGATCATCTTATGTGTTTTCAGATGTGTTGACCGACTGAATCTCTTGTCACAGTGTGAACACTTGTAAGGTTTCTCTCCAGTGTGGATCATTTCATGTGTTTTCAGATTTGATGAATGACTGAATCGCTTGTTACAGTGTGAACACTTATAAGGCTTCACTCCAGTGTGGATCCTCTCATGTATTTTAAGATGTGCTGACTGACTAAATCTCTTGTTACAGTGTGAACACTTATAAGGCTTCACTCCAGTGTGGATCCTCTCATGTGTTTCCAGGTCTGCTAACCTATTGAATCTCTTGTCACAGTGTGAACAATTGTAAGGTTTTTCTCCAGTGTGGATCATTTCATGTGTTTTCAGATTTGATGAATGACTGAATCGCTTGTCACAGTGTGAACACTTATAAGGTTTCACTCCAGTGTGGATCCTCTCATGTATTTTAAGATGTGCTGACTGACTGAATCTCTTGTCACAGTGTGAACACTTATAAGGTTTCACTCCAGTGTGGATCCTCTCATGCAGTTTTGTACAGGTCGCTGACGTAAAAGTCTTTTCACAATTAAAGCACATGTACTCTTCCACTTTCAAAATTGAAAAACGTGAAAAACTCTTTCCACACAAATAACATGAATGTGGCTTCTCCTTTGTATGAACTCTCAAGTGTTTCTTTAGGACTGAAGCCCTCAAAAATGTTTTATCGCATTGATCACATGAGTACAGTTTCTCTCCAGTGTGGATGCTCATGTGTTTCTTAAGGCGTGATGATTGTGTGAAACTCTTCCCGCACTGATCACATGTGTACGGTCTCTCTCCAGTATGAACTCTCATGTGAAGCTCAAGACTATATTTGCATTTCAAACTCTTTCCACATTGATTACATGTGTACAGTTTCTCTCCTGTATGAACTTTCATATGTGTCATAAGGATTTCTTTCCGTGCAAAACTCTTCCCGCACTGATCACATGTGTACGGTCTCTCTCCAGTGTGAATCCTCTCGTGTGTTTTCAGATGTGTTGACTGACTGAATCTCTTGTCACAGTGTGAACACTTATAAGGTTTCTCTCCAGTGTGGATGTTCATGTGTACCTTAAAGTTTGCCAAGTATGCAAAACTCTTTCCACATTGATTACATGTGAACGGTTTCTCTCCTGTATGAATTCTCATATGTATCATAAGGCTTGTTTTTTGTGAGAAACTATTCCCGCACTGATCACACGTGTGTGGTTTCTCTCTAGTGTGGACTACCTTGTGTTTCTTCAGGTGTCCTGACCGACTGAATCTCTTGTCACAGTGTGAACACTTGTATGGTTTCTCTCCAGTGTGGATCCTCTCATGCAGTTTTGTACAGGTCGCTGACGTAAAAGTCTTTTCACAATTAAAGCACATGTACTCTTCCACTTTCAAAATTGAAAAACGTGAAAAACTCTTTCCACACAAATAACATGAATGTGGCTTCTCCTTTGTATGAACTCTCAAGTGTTTCTTTAGGACTGAAGCCCTCAAAAATGTTTTATCGCATTGATCACATGAGTACAGTTTCTCTCCAGTGTGGATGCTCATGTGTTTCTTAAGGCGTGATGATTGTGTGAAACTCTTCCCGCACTGATCACATGTGTACGGTCTCTCTCCAGTATGAACTCTCATGTGAAGCTCAAGACTATATTTGCATTTCAAACTCTTTCCACATTGATTACATGTGTACAGTTTCTCTCCTGTATGAACTTTCATATGTGTCATAAGGATTTCTTTCCGTGCAAAACTCTTCCCGCACTGATCACATGTGTACGGTCTCTCTCCAGTGTGAATCCTCTCGTGTGTTTTCAGATGTGTTGACTGACTGAATCTCTTGTCACAGTGTGAACACTTATAAGGTTTTTCTCCAGTGTGGATGTTCATGTGTACCTTAAGGTTTGCTAAGAATGCAAAACTCTTTCCACATTGATTACATGTGAACGGTTTCTCTCCTGTATGAATTCTCATATGTATCATAAGGCTTGTTTTTTGTGAGAAACTATTCCCGCACTGATCACACGTGTGTGGTTTCTCTCTAGTGTGGACTACCTTGTGTTTCTTCAGGTGTCCTGACCGACTGAATCTCTTGTCACAGTGTGAACACTTGTATGGTTTCTCTCCAGTGTGGATGTTCATGTGTACCTTAAAGCTTAACGATTGTGTGAAACTCTTCCCACACTGATCACAAGTGAATGGTTTCTCTCCAGTGTGAATTCTCATGTGAACATCAAGACCATATTTTCTTGTCAAACTCTTTCCACACTGAGTGCATGTAAAAGATTTCTTGGCCCCTCTTTTCTTTAAATCATTCTGTTTGGTTTGAGAGCAACTCAAAGGTTTTTCTCCAGGATTGACATGATTTGTTGGAGAAAAAAAAAAAAAAACAGAAATGTGAAAGTACATAAAAGTCAACCCTGGTGTAATAGTGTAAGGACAATTTCTATACAAAATGTTGTTCCTTTTAATGCAATTTTATAAATTATACTTTCCTTAAACTTTTCATGAATAAGGTACATTGATCTTCAAAATATCATTTTAAAAACATAATGGACACAATCCCCATGTTTCTATAAGGAGAACTATTAAATATGTTTGATCAACTAGACTATTATCTAACATACATTTTGTTGAAAAAAAGTGTCCCTTATTATTTGCTGCTCCATCTATATTATTCAACAGCTCTAAAGATTGTTTCTATTACAACAAACTAAATCTAAAACTGCAGCGGATGTGTTCTTGCTCTGCCCCTTTTATCAAGGATACATCAAGAGATGACTTGTGCAAACTTGTGACAGCCAGGTATCCCAGAATGCATTTCACACCAACCAGCGAGCATTAATGGCAGAGGAGAAAACCCGCGTAATTTTCAAAATATTACTGTTATTGTGCCATGAAATGTAGTTTTAAGAGTATTTCAGGTGAGAATGTAGTTGTTTAAAACTCAAATATGCGTTTATTTATAAAGATAGGGCCTATTTAAATTTTTTTTTGCTTCGGCGATTTTGGAGATGTGAGCTCCAGGCGATCAGCGGGCGCTCAGTGCTCATGTTTCCCACTGAGAGCGCCTCACCTCGGCTTGTCCTTCTGACATTTGCCGCTGGCTCTGATGTCTCTGTAGTGGTTAAACATGAAATAAAATTCGTTTTGGGTCTATCTAACAGATAATCTTCGATTTGATGTCTCATGAATCCAACCCTCGACATTGCGAGTAAATCACTCGCATATGCGACTAAATTTTACTCTGGGCGACTAAATGATATCTAATATTCATTGGCTAATAAATTCTTAGATTTTACTCGCCAGTGTGTGAGTTCGAGGTTATTATAAGTTATAATGTAATATTTAATTTTATTATTCATACAGTGAAGATAATCAGAGTATATGTGGACATATTGCCTAAACCACATGTTAATATGTTTTATATTTTTAAAATGAAAACGAAAAGAGGGTTGTTTTATAATTTGTTTTAAGTATACATACAGTGAAGAAAACGAAAAAAGGCAGTGGTGTTTGATGTTATTTTGATTTATTGTAATGTGTGTACGCGTTGCATGAACCACTTATTTGTGGCTATTAATATGTTTAAATGAAACAGAAAAGAGGCAATGCTGTTTGATATTATATTTAGTTTTATTGTAATGTATATACGCTCCCCGAACTACCTTTTTGTGGCTATTAATATGTTTAAATGAAAACGAAAAGAGGCATTGGTGTTTAATATCATATTTCGTCTTATTGTAAATATACATTGAGAAACTACCTTTTTGTGGCTATTAATATGTTTAAATGAAAACGAAAAGAGGCAGTGGTGTTTAATATCATATTTCGTCTTATTGTAAATATACATTGAGTGAGGATAACTTGAGTAGAAAATGTGAGCTGACTGACATTGACAAGTACACTGCTGTTCAATTGCAGAATTACTGGACTTGCGTCCTCCTGTCCCCGGGAGTTCACACTCCAAGCATGCAAGTCCAAACTTTGCGTACTTGGTATTGAAAAATGGCTAAAGTCCCTTTATTCATAATCGCAGGCGATTCATTGCCGATTATGAACGCGATTTTGTGTAGCTTGTCAGTGAACTACGGCTCTGTGTAGTAAATGCCGCTCCATCTGAATGCATGTGCTGGAGATTTACTACTAATCACAGGAGCGGCTTTACTGACGAGATGCGCATGAAAATCATTAGATTTTTTGCACAGCCCTAAGACAAGTCATTTCACTCGGCGGCCTTCTTTGAAATGCCTCTCGGGCATGCAAGTGCAGCTCCTAGCTCTTTGAATGGAGAAACATCAAATTCTCCAAAACTGTTCACCAGGGCCAGACTGGGACGCAATTTAAGGCCGGGAAATCTCACACTCATCCAGGCCACACAGAAAAAAGGGGCCAAAATGGTACCTTTTGGGGTACAACAGCTTGTCACTGGAGAAGTAACCTTAAAAAATGTCTTTGTACTTTTTTTTTATCCCTAATAGGTAGTGGTTTGGGTCTTACCTCTCAGATTGGTTCTTCAAGGTATCTTGGAGAGGTGAGGTGTCCAAGTCGCAACATCTAGCTACTGGGGTGCCTCAGGGCTCAGTGGTAGATATTAGTACCTTATAGTAATGCATACACATAAGGTACTAATTAGGGCTGTCGCGATTCGTCGATTTTATTTGACTATTCAACTTTTAAAAATTCTTGACTTCACTTTGCTCGCGTCGACTAACCGGCAAAATACCGGTTAAGTATGAATTTTGAAATTCATTTAATTTCAGTGGCTGTAGAATTTCTGTCCTAAAGAAATGGCCAAATATTAAAGATTAAGTGGACATTTAAATGAAATGGTGCTTGGTCAATATTAAACAAGGATTAGATCGCACAGTAATGTGTAAAAATAATCGTCAGGCCGTTGACGCCCCCTGCAGGCCTTTGTTGTAATGCGTAATGTACATTAGCTCTATTGTTTATAATACATTATATATTTTAACAGTTTTGTTCAATAAAACCATATGATTTCTTGCTTTTGATAATTTATTTGAACTAATTATTATTGCCTCATTGCTATTATATATGTATTTTAAGTAATTTTAAAGGCTATTGTTCACTTACATCTATTTTTATTACCACAAAAAAAAAAGTATAATTATAGGGCACTATGAAATCCATTTTATTTCCATATTCATTTTTCTATACTCTGTTTTAATGGTTAAATTAAATTTTATTAATCAAAAAGCCTGTCTAATTAATTGAGTTTTTACAGTTTTATCTTTACCAAATTATGTTTTCCATTATTTATCTAGATTCCATTTTAATGGATCCATTAAATTTTAATAATCAAAAGCATCTCCAATTAATTGATTTTATTTTTAGCCTGTCTAATTAATTGAGTTTTACAGTTTTATCTTTACCAAATTCCATTTTAATGGTTCCATTAAATTTTAATAATCAAAAGCATCTCCAATTAATTTATTTTATAAAAAAAAATAAAAAAGTATTTTTTTCCCCCAGAAATACAGCACATTTACATTTTTCTCCTAAATAAATTCTGGTAAATAATATTTCTGGTAAATACTCCTTTAAAACTTGTTTTTTTATTATAATTTTATTATTAGTAGACTAGAACACGTGGATATGTTGTCATTCTTACTCTATAATACTGAACTTTGATTTCAGTGATTTGGACTATGAGATGGACACTTGCTTCTTGCACTTTATGTTGCACTTTACTTTTTTACTTTTGGATTTCATTTGGTTTAATGAAATATAGTTTAATAAAATATTCTTAAGTAAAATTGTTGAGGTTTTTTGTGGTAAATTAATCGTTTAGATTAATCGATAAATTAGTCGATAGATTAATCGAAATAAAAATAGTCGTTAGTGGCAGCCCTAGTACTAATATTTACCTATTAGGTGTAAAAGGCAAAAAGACGTCCTTTTTAAGGATACTGCTCCAGTGACAAGCTGTTGTACCCCAAAAGGTACCATTTTGGCCTCTTTTTTCTGTATATATCCTATTGACCCACTACAAATTCTGAAACCACAGATAACCCTATTATTTAAATTGCCATCACATAAAAAGGTCTAAATCCTTGGTCTGGGGCCGTGAAAAATAATTAAAGGTTGTCTCTTGAACCACACCTTCTCTTCCCTTTTTACTTTTCTTAATTTTCCCCAATATCTCGGTCTCTCCCTTTTTTTATTGTACCTGTCACTTCTTGACCAGCAGGTGTACTGTTATGAACAGAACTGTGTCCACCTTGTTGCAAAACGACCACCTCATTGCAATTTATCACAGATTGTTATTTATCTTAAAATGACTTAAATACCCGAGATTTAACAAACCTATATTTCATACAAATATATCCAAACAATTTTCTAAAGTGCCTAAAAGTTATTTATCTTAAAATGACTTAAATACCCGAGATTTAACAAACCTATACCTAAAGTGCCTAAAAGTCAAAATCAGTACAATAGAGTGGTTCAACAGATCACAAATCTCACGGTTCGGATCATTTTACGGTTTTTGAGCCACGGATCGTTTTTCGGATCAGCAAGAAAAAAAATCTATGTAACTTTGCTTTCCATAAGTACGATACCACAGCAAAAACTCTTAGCCTAAGAAAGTTCAAACATTATTAAAGAGACAAGTGAACAGCCAGTAAAAATAAGAACAAATAGGCTACACAAATTACAAGCATAGATAAATACAAGAGAACAATGTTACAAATAGACTTGATTGGTGTCGCGTCATAGCTGTGTGGGCGGAGTCGGCGCGGGGGAAAACAGTCCTTTTCCCACAAATTGGAAAAGCATGGTGTTGACTCAGAATGGCCTACATAAAATTATTTCTGCTGCTCGACAGAGCAACATACGCATAAAAACTGAGCCGTATTGGGTCGGACTGTCCGTACGGTATCTGTGACTGGACAAACGACCCAACGGAATGGCCAGAGGTGTCTTTCCCAACATTTTTTGTTACCTAATTGAGCAAGAGACAGCTTAGGCTACTACAAGCCTATACGAGACGGCTTGTGAAAGTAAACATTTGTCGTTTTGTTTTGCTTAATTTTAATAAAGTGATAAAGACTTGAGTAAAAGCCTGTCATACTTTCTTATTGATATATTAAAACGTTTTTTAACATTGACAAAACAGGTAACATTAAGGTCCACTGAAGTGCCTTGAAATGAGCAGCGTTATTCTGTGTGGTGTGTGCTGCGGCTGCCTAATAATTTTCACAAATACATGCCTTAAAATAAAGATAACGTGAAAATATGTATATAAAATACCAAAAAACATGGTTATTGGTTACTATAGCTAAACCATGGTAAAAAACAACATGTTTTGCTACACTAACCATAGTTTAACCTGGTATTTGTAGTAAAACTGTGGTTATAGGCTGCAATTGGTAATAAAAATGCCA